GAGTTCGACCGTCAAGTCGAAATGATCGGCTTGATTCAGTATCTAGCCACCCCCCACGAGGGTTGCATGCGACACAAGGTCATTTTTATCGTGGGTTTCCTGAGCCCGTAGGCTCAGCCAAAAATATGCCCGTATGACTCGTAAAACGAGATCAGGGTAGGTCATTCACCCCGAACGAGATTCTGCCCTTCGGCGGAACCTCGTCCGGGTTCCTTTCTGCTCAAAAAGCAGAGTTCGACCGTCAAGTCGAAATGATCGGCTTGATTCAGTATCTAGCCACCCCCCACGAGGGTTGCATGCGACACAAGGTCATTTTTATCGTGGGTTTCCTGAGCCCGTAGGCTCAGCCAAAAATATGCCCGTATAACTCGTAAAAACGAGATCAGGGTAGGTCATTCACCCCGAACGAGATTCTGCCCTTCGGCGGAACCTCGTCCGGGTTCCTTTCTGCTCAAAAGCAGAGAGTTAGACCATCAAGTCGAAAAGATCGGCTTGATTCGATCCTCTTTCTTGAGAAGCGTAGTATACATAGTGTTAGGAAGAGTTCATTCTGTAGTTATAGGTAAGGACCCATGACAGAAAGCAAAAAGACAAACATTGCTAAGAGCTACAAAATATAGACATTTCTGGAGAGCCATGATCGTCCACATCCTGAAGGGAATGGCTCAAAGAAGAAGGAGACCAACAATTTCTGTTTGCGATGTTAACTGCCAAGTTGATGATGTTTCAAGCAGTTTCTATTAATATCTATATAGTAATAAAGAATTTTTATTTTAGATTCAACTGTGTAAATCCTAAAAAGCTAAAGTTTCTATTGCAGAGACTTAAAGTAAATCACTTATATGATGTCAGATTTTATTATGTAAGTCAATGTTTTCTAAATAAAGTTGATATTATGAGGGTCGCCCTAAAATTTATAAGCCTCACTCAGAAGGAGTTGGAGAAACAGAACAGTTTTTCACTATTTTTCAATATAGTCACCCTTGACATGAATGCACTTGGTCCAACAAAGTTTAAACATTGCAAGAAGGTAGCGTCATGGTCCTTCAAATACTCCTCCACAGCATGTATATCATAATTGTTTCCAAAATGGCGACAATGCATGTGGGATTTGAGTTTAGAAAACAGGAAGTAGTCCGATGGCGCTAAGTCTGGTGAGTACGAGGGATTGGGGTCACAATTCAAAGCTACATTTGATTGTTTCAGTTACTGCAACCTGAACAGTGTGAATGGACGCGTTATCTTGAAGAAAGAGCATACCTGCCCTCAGTTTCCTTCTGGGTTTTGACTTGATTGCTTCCTTCAGTTGTCTTAATTCTGATGCATATATACTGTCTTCCCTTTTCCAGGTAGTCCATCATGATTACGTCTTCAGAATCCCAACAAAATAGAAACCACCACCTTGCCAATAGACACTATTCAATACGAAAACTGTTGGCTTAAGCCATGAAAGCAACCAAACAACCATTATTAAGTAAATATCACACAGAGAAAGGTATAAGTTGGTTGAAGAATTACATGAAAGCTGATTTCTCACCAGAAATCTTTAATCCTTTATGTAGAGCTACATTGGATAGACTTAAGTTTCATGGAATTAGTAGGTCAATACGACATAGAAGTCATTGTTGAAAGGCAAAACTCATCGGTCTTCAATAAGATGACACACGGATAACTTTCAGTAAATAGTCATTAAGTCATATTTTCGAATTTGACTGCTTTCATTATGGACAGAAATGGATCATAAGAATCTTCCGATGCAAATACTAGGTTCCAGAGTGAAGAAAATATATATAGTTATGGATTACCGAACATTCTGTTCCAGTATTTACATCGGCATATTCCTGTACCCTTCAGATGGACAGTTGTAAAATTCGAAAACATGGCTTGGTGGCTGTTTATTGAAACCGCTCCTTGCGCCATCTGCCTCGAACAGTAATCCGTATAGTGAAATAGTATAGAGAATAGCGGCCCGTATAGAAGTAGAGGATAGACTAAAAATAGTGATCCGAATAGTAATAGAGGATAGACTAGAAATAATGATCCGAATAGTAATAGAGGATAGACTAGAACTGAAAATGGTTAGTCGTCAGCTACTTTCTACATATATGCGTTTCCTCTATGGTCACGTGGTCTAGATTGGGATCGCCTGTGTTTGCTCACTGGCGATCTATGTTCAAACTCCAGCGTCGGAAGCGACACTTTATTCCTATAAAACAATATATAAGGTAGTGCTGCCTGACGTAGTTGTTAGCCGAATTTTGATGTGAAATATTGAAATGTTCAATTCACCTTTTCTCTGATCAGCTATCGATGAAATAACAGTGTATATTGGGTCCTGTGTGGTAGCCAGTCTAGGAGAAAGCATCATTGAAGTCAAAAACGTGGAAAAGGCAACGGGAAACCAGTTCACTGTGTTTCCTAATAAGTCATGGTAATTTACGCATATATATATATATATATATATATATATATATATATATATATATATATATATATATAAAAGAAATGCAAATCATGATCGCCTACTTCAATGAATAGGCATGGCGTTAAAAATATGCATTGATATATGAGTTCTCTCTCTGACACGGCCCATTTTATTGGCACCTATACACTAACAGATATGGATGCTCTTGCATTCACGCAAGTAACCCAGGCCTCATATTGTAATAATCGCCATCACTGACGCAAAACCGGAAACATGCACAGATGCGAAGGCCAAGTACGAATTACACGTGTGCACCTGCCTCGTGTCTTTACACCTGTTTATATATCGTGATGGCCAAATGTGTGTAGGTGGGGAAAACGTGGGAACAAACCTGTTCGTCACGTGCTTTTTGCATCGCCCTCTAGTTGCGCTTAACTTTGTTATAGTATTTTAAATAAATAAGAAAAGAAGAAGATGGTTTCAAAGTGAGATATCTATGACATTAAGCTATTTCTCTTCCTTCTCCTCCTTATCTCTCTGTCTTGTGTGTGGGTGGTGTAATGGATAACGGCGAGGAATAGGAAATCCGAGACCCGAGTTCTATTTCTAGTAGAGTTTGTTATATTCACTAACGTGTAAATATCCTGTGGAAAGGTATGACTTTACCTCTTCTCACTCCAGCTATGGGTTTATTAGTAAGACTTACATCACTAAATCATTATTATCTTCACTCCACCCCAATTAATACAAACTAAAAAATTTTCTGGCATTAAATAACCTGAAAAATGTTGATAAACCATAGAAAAAGAACGAATCAATCTTTGATACGAGATATCACAGCTGAGGAACTCTAAAAATTGAACTGTTTTAATTATAACAAAACCTAAGAAAAAGATTCTTCCTTGTAATATTTCGGGGATTTTACTTGTGTGCTAATATAAATCCAATTAAATCTCAAAGGTATATATATTTTTCAAAGCTGTTTTTAGATTTTCCACAAGGTCAAACAATAAACACTCCAGGTAATTCATTTGTATACGGCTTACCTGAGCCAGGAGATAAAAAAGACTTATGGCTCCATTTCTTCTTCTCACTTTATTAGAGCAGGTGTGTCTGAGAGTCTGGATGAAAAGTTTTCAGGAAGTTTGCTTTTCTTCACATCCCTTCTTTCTAAGCACCATTTATTTGATATGGGTTAATTAATAAGAATTTTATCAGTAAATCATTATTATCTCAAAAAAATTCTTACTATCTAAAAATATTTTCTGGTTTTTAAATAATGGTTGATAAACTGTAAAAATCGAATCAATCAATTAACCAATTATAGTCAGAGCATTTTGGTGCATGTACTCTTTAGCCTTCTTCAACTTTTTGTCATTTTTGGAAACATTTTGGGAATTATGAACTAAACCCTTTATTCAATCCTTGAGGATAGAGTGTTCTCATTCATTTGACGATGTTAGGGAAGATAACTTGTATTAAATAAGGCTTCTTTCATAATTCATCCATATTTGCTTCTTTCACTAAATCAATTCCAGCTGGATTAGTTATATTCACTTACATGCAAATACCCTTGGGAAAGGTATGAATTCACCTCTTCTCCCCCGCCCCCCAGCTATAGGTTTATTAGTAAGACTTACATTACTAAATCATTATTATCTCCCCCCGCACAAATTCTTATAATCTAAAAATATTTTCTGGCTTTAAATAACGCAAAATGTTGATAAACCATAGAAAATGAATCAATCAAACTTTGATGCAAGATATCACAGCTGAGAAAGTCTAAAAATTGAACTGTCTTAATTATGGCAAAACCTTTGATGCAAGATTTTTCCATCGGATTTTAAGGGTGTGCTAAGATGAATCCAATTAAATCTAGATTTAAATAACTAAATCAATATTGTCTCCAAACATTCTTACAATCTAATAATATTTTTTCTGTCTATTAAAATTAACCGTTAAATAACATGCAAAATGTTGATAGTCTGTAAAAAATCAAATCAATCAATAAATAAATCTCTTTTTCTTTTTCTTTTTTTTAAATTGTTTCTGCTTTTCTCTAGCGATCTTATCAAATACTTTGGAGGCAAAAGACTTAGCAATTCTACTGCAGTACCAGCAATGTAGGTTTGATTCTGAATTATACCATATCGTGCCAGGCTACACTGACGTGGTGTAATGGTTAGCAAGTTTATTTAGAGTTGAATTCGTTTCTCGCTTGGTGCTCTGTACTTTCAGATTTGTGTCGCATCTAAACTATACATCGTAAATCGCCATAACAGGTCTGTTAGTAGTAAATTAAAAATCCCATTGAGATTAATGTACGTAACCGTTCACTTTTTTCATTTGATACATCAATGTACTTGTAAAAAGTGAAGTTGTAAACTTTTCTATTATCTCTGTGGTCATTACTTGTCAGGGATTTGGTCGATTGACAAAAAATTATATTGCTACTGAATGATCCTGGGGGAGAGGGCATTTTTTATTTGTCTATTTCATTATGTCCATATCTATCTATCTATCTATCTATCTATCTATCTATCTATCTATCCCAGTACTCTCATATATGTCGGGCATACGGTCATACAACGTTGAAACACCGGTTCTCGTATGATCACCAAAGTTAAGCAACGTCGAACTTGGTCAGTACTTAGATGGATGACCGCTTGGGAATACCAATTGCTATAAGTTTGGATGAGCGGATGGTGTAATGGATAACAGCTCGGAATTGGAAATCTATCTATCTATCTATCTATCTATCTATCTATCTATCTATCTATCTATCTATCTATCTATCGCAATTAGTCAAAGACAGGTAAGTAACTATTCTAACTATTAAAGAACCAGTGTCGAATAGCTCTCGGTATGATCAAGAATCCAAGAATCATTATTTCAACGGTAAAATATCAGAATACTGATTTCTGGAAGCGGGCCGGGCTGAGAACTTTACGGCTTCCTCTCGTATATTTTTACGCGTGTAAGTATTTGTCGCCGATATGTCTGGGAAGTGAGGAAGAGTAAGATAAATAAAATGTAGTGATAAGTAAGCACTTGACCTGTGCATTGCTATTGTATCTATTATATTTGCTTTGTTGACCTTTTGAAGAGGTTGGCGAAAAGGAACAATCGCCCGGTGGTGATTGTCGTAATCTGACGTGAATATTGGAGCGATCTTGTGGTTTTTGTTTTCGCTCTGCTTCTACCGAAAGACATTTCATTTGCTTTCTTTCTGTTTCTAGGGCCAATTTTAGACTTCATTTGGATGAAACCATTTCTACATCCGCAATGATAAAGTGAATAAGTAAAAACGAAATCATCGTAAGCTCTTTCTCTCTCTCTCTCTCTCTCTCTCTCTCTCACACACACACACACACGTATAGGGGGCAATAAATTCACTATACAGTTACTTATAATAAAAAAGCAAAGCATTGAAGCAGATGGCATGCAATTCGAACAGTATCGGCAATTAATTTACTATTGTTTATCATAGCATTTTATTGTTATTAACCAGAACCATTTTAATAATAAATTTGTGGACTGTTGATTAATTGCTTGTTATTGTAAGTAACTGTATACTGACTTTATTGCCATTCTTTATATACTTGTGTTCGTGGAAAATACGACTGTAGTAGACTCATCCACATGTAGTGAAAGGCTAATAAAAATAATGGAGGCGTTGATGGTGAGAAAGGGAAGGCCAATACACAATGGTGTCAACTGTGGGCAAGGCCACAGCGTGCTGGCCGTGTTTGGAAAATGAAAAAAAGAAACATTCCCATCACTATATACACATATATAAAAATCTACATATTCAGTTAAAAAGAAAAGGAAATCCTTGAAGATGGCTAATGAAGTAACCGATGACGCGCGGATGTATGCGATATTTGGACAGTTTTTACACACTTTATGTCCACTTATACGGACTCAAGAAAAACTGAATTAAAAATCAATCGCAGTACCTTGTCAATCGCTTTTACGGAACTTTATATATATATATGACCACTCTTGCCTACTGGCGTTTGTATACACCACGTATATAATATGTTCAAATTTGCCTATATCTTAGGGGTAGAATCTTGGACTGATGCCAAATGAGTCGAGTTTCGATCCCTGTTTGAAGCATTCGGATGTCTAGTCGCAGTGATGAGCTGTGATACAGTGAAGCAGGCTTGTATGTGGTTGATTATATATATATATATATATATATATATATATATATATATATTTGAATATAAAAGTGAAGATTGAAGTCAACACTCAGAGGCGACAGGCTGTTTCATGCTAGACTCAATCGTTAGGCCACCTGACGATTGCATATAGCATGAAACAGCCTGTCGCCTCTGAGTGTTGACTTCAATCTTCACTTTCATATTTATATTTACATACGCTCTATCTTTGATATTGAGCACTTTATCCCATAAATATAGCACACCTTAAACTATATTTCTTCATATATATATATATATATATATATATATATATATATATATATATATATATAAGAAAAAATACGGAAAAACAAACAAAAACCTAATATGCAATTATGCTGTTTTGTTTGTTTAATGTTAATATTAAAACAGCATAATTGCATATTAGGGTTTTTTTTTGTTTTTTTCGTATATTTTTCTTCATACTGTTGGATCTATATCCATATATTTGCTTATATATATATATATATATATATATATATATATATATATATATATATATATATATATATATATATAATATGTGAAAATATATAGAAAATAGGAATGAACTGGTTAGGTAAATAATCCAAAGTCCCTTAGTATTTTAGTTATTATTTTTTAAAAAATAGTGCTCGATACAAAAGTAGAGCATAAATATAATTATTTATTTAAAATATGATCCGCTACATAAGAGGTCTCATGTTTCAAAACTAGAGCCGAAAACTTCAATATAATCCCTTTAAATTAAATTGAGTTGAAAGTAAAATGGGCTCCGTTCCATCCTCAAGCGAAATTTTTGTTGGAATAACGTATATCTGAAATTTACTTGTTTTAAAATTGAAATCAAAATCCCCATGGTAACAGCTATGGTGAATTTTCTATACCGCTACTTAATATAAACACCCTACACTCGCCTACCCAATTTAGAAAATTCACCATAGCTGTTACCATGGGGATTTTGATTTTAATTTTAAAACAAGTAAATTTCAGATATACGTTATTCCAACAAAATTTCGCTTGAGGATGGAACGGAGCCCATTTTACTTTCAACTCAATTTAATTTAAAGGATTATATTGAAGTTTTCGGCTCTAGTTTTGAAACATGAGACCTCTTATGTAGCGATTTGGAATCATATTTTTAAATAAATAATTTTATATATATATATATATATATATATATATATATATATATATATATATATATATATATATAACTCAAGAATTATATAACACTTATTCCTATTTCCATTCGAACTAATGTCCTCATCTTTGTTGTTGTTATCACAACCTTTCGACCGTTCTGATCTCTGGTTTTCTTTAGGTGTCTGTCGATCCCGGTAACATTCTGCTAATCTCAAATAAGAAACTTACGGGCATACATTCTTCTTTTACTGAGAGCTAAAAATTATAAGAAGTTGTAGAGAGCCATGATCGTCTATGTCCTGAAGGGACACGGCACATAGAATCAGAAGAAGCAGCTTGTTTTTATATAAACATATCACACAAAAATGTTTTGTTCAAGAACTTACAATATTTCTCGGCTATTATTCCGACTTCAACATTTACTTTGACATGACCTACAAATTCATTGCTCACATTACTGTTCCAAAACATTACTCCACCCGTCACTGTTGTCTTCTAAGTTGGTTAACTATTTCTTAGGGCTCAACTTCTAAACCTGACATCCAGTACAGCCCTACATTTATTAAAAACATAGTCTATTACGTATATTCGTTTTTTACCTGATGTTCTGCGAATGAATTTGAAGAATAATCTTTCGTAGCATTTTTTTGCTTCTTAGTAACTCTGGTCATCCTGTCCAATGTCACTGAAATTTAATTTCAGATTAGACAACCCTTTGAGGTGGAATGCTAAGTAGACAAGAAAGAATATGTCCGACATCTCTTTGCTTCTAATTAAGGTCACAAAGCAGCTCAAGAAATTTGTGCTTCAAAACAACCAAACGGTCAATGCTAAACTGTATGTTGAACAAATATACAGGCTGAAAATGACAATTCACCTGAAAAGACATAGCCGACGATACAATGTGATTATTCAACATGACAATACTCGCTCTTCATCACTAACATGACCAAACATGCAGTTAAAGAGCTCAGTTGGGAAGTTCTGCCACAGCCAACATATTCTCCTAAATTATCTCCTTCAACCGCTTTTTAGTCGCTTTCTAACAATTTGAAGGGTGTTTCATTCAACAACAATGTGGAGCTTAAAACGCGGGTTGATGAATTTTTTGAGTCAAAACATAGTGATTTCTATCGTCGAGGCACTGATCATTTAGTTGATCGCTTGCAATAGATTGTAAATAATGAACATGAATACATTGACATTATTGAATGATTCATTAGAAATATTAATAAATACTTAGTAATAAAACAATTTATAAAAACCGAACGAATTTATGTAACAACTTCATGATATTGAGAAAACAACACAATTTAATTATTACTCTTTCATTTGATTTAAGTTGGAAATTTGATTGCTTTTATGTCTTTCACCAGTGTTCTTAATATTCTGCATATTTTTTTCTCTGTTTACATTCGAAACATAAACCCCTTTTCAAATGTCTTTCTGGTTAATCCTTTTTTCTACCTTATTACCCTTTCTTAAATTTTGTTACTCAAATCAGATTTATTCATGTCCATATTTTGCCAATGTTTTCATTTCTTTTTCTTGTAGTGATATGTAAATGATTGCCTAATTCGCATAGATAAGACATCGTGACTATATGAGTTCTGAAGCGGTAAGGAGAAGTATAGGATATGTTATTCGGATCTTGAGCATCGAACTTGCGAGATTCCGTGTATCGTATTTTGTTTACCATCTCTCACTTTTGTCTCCGTCTTTGGATAGAGCGCAACTCAGTTGTGTCTTCGGGCAAAGCGCCCCCCACCCTAAAAAAATAAATAAAAATAACTGATAGGTACCCGTTCCCGGGAAACAGCTACCCGCGCCGCTCCTGTCTCATCGCTCTAAAGAAGGGGATTGCCAGTAATATTGATAGAAGCCCAATTGACGGTTGTGGGAGCGGAGCTATATTTGAACTTGGTCCGAGTGTACCTATTTGGGTTTTCTGCATTAAACTAACCTTGTGTCGCTTCCTGTTTGCGTTGAGCGGCAAGCAATATCGAATATGATACGCGAGATTAATGACTACGCTGGACTGATGAAATACGAAAGAGATTACATTTCATAATATTTATAATTTTTTTTGTTATCACTGTTCACATATTTCGCAATTTCCCACTACTCAGTAGCTTTAAAATATCTTGGTCTTTTGAGCTTATATCTTTCTTACGACTCATAACACATGTAATGAAAGTAACAAATACATTTTATATAGAATTTACTTCCAATACAGGGTTATTAAAAAAAAGAGCAGATTTTGAAAATCTAATAAAAACTAATTCTAAGAGACAAGCAAATTCAACGCATAACAGGATAAAAAAAAAACACTTTAAAGTTTATTATTTTG